GGTGATAATATTTGTTACGAATAAAGTTTCAGATCAATAATTTTTTTGGAGCAAATTAAGGTAAGAATCTGAAATTAAATGCATTTCGTAACATCATACAAACGTAAACTTGTGTAATTGTTATATTTATATATTATAAACAATTGCTTTATTATTGTGGTTGATCATTCTCTATATTTAATTGGTATCTTTTTTTTTTTTTAGATATGATAATCACGAGGTCTTGTTGGACATCATTATATTTTTTGGGCCTTATATCTAGTTTAGTAGACTTTTATTGTAACGTTATTGTATTGTCATTAGCCTAAAGAGGTGAAAAAAATGAAAAAAAAAAAAAACTCTGTTTTAGTTTATTGTGATTTTACTTTGATTTAGTTCGTATCTAAATTTATAATAAATATATTTAGCCCATGTTTGAGCCATATTTTCCATATCATCATAATAAGAAAAATGACTGTTGGAGGGAGGCTGTGTCCCACACATGAAACAGCAGGTCAACAAAGGCGGCTAGGGTTGTGGGATAACGTTCCAAATTTTTATTTTTTTATCCCAAAAATTTGGTTCAAACAGGGGCTTAGTTTTTTTTTTAGATTTATTACTAATAAGATATAAATATATATTGAATTTAATGAATTAATGACATAAAAGTAGACGGGCAAAAAAACATATGGCAAAACCGACGGTTTAAAATCAGACCAAACCGTTAGGTTTAGGTTTGAGTTTCTTTCAAACCGTTCAAAATTGTTTGATTTAGGTTTGAGTTTTTCTCAAATCGGTTTGGTTTGAAAATCTGTCAAAAATCAATAAAATCGGACCGCTTACACCCCTAATATTAATAACAACAAAAGATAAACTAAAGACATAATATAAATAATCAAAGGGTACAAAACTTACTTTAATCAAATAATAAATGATCTTTCTTAACCCTACAGATGTCACATGCCGATTGCTATTCCAACTCAACATCCGAGGACGCTGAGATTTATGCTTAATGCAGTAATTTTTTCGATCAATAAAAGGAATTGTTTCATAAATCCATTCTTGAAAAGAAATTAGGAAGTCATTCAATCTATACTCCAAAAACTTCTTTTCTAGAAAAATATTCTTCATCATCTGATTAAATGCACTCTTTAGGGATGATAGTCATACTAAAAATTTTTATACTCCATGGAAAAGAATTCAAATTCTCAAACTCCACAAAATAAAAAGATGATTCATCAACTCCCTTATGATAAGGTGTACAAAAAAGGAATGATGTAATTAAATAAACTATGCCATGCCCACAAAATCTTTATCTACAATGTGAGCAGGCAAATTTAAAAACACTTCTTGAACCTCTTTTGTTGTGACACTTATGTGATCTTTGAAGTATTGTTCTTTTAAATGACTCTTCATTCTATATCGAGTTAGGTCACCATTGCCAGTACACTTAAGCCTTGATATCAAATAGAACTCTTCGATTGAAAATCTCACCAATTTATCACAGATATTAAACCACATTTCATTTTGAATTCGGCTACTTAACTTATCTAAGCAGCAACTGGTGTGTCAACTGTGGTTGCAAGATTATTTCCTTCAAATCAATGAAGGCACCAAAGCATGTATTCTTGATAAAGTCCTCCGATATGGACTAAATTTTTCATTCAAATCTACTATCACCTCATGTGGAGATAAACATGTCACTTTTCCTTTTAACCAACAAGATTGAGGGATTAATAAATCTCAATCCTACAAAAAGAAAAAAGAAACAGTTAAAATAAAATTCAAGAAGAAGTACGTGCATTATGAAAGTTTATAATATACACGTTTCAAACCTGTTATAATAATTGAAATCGTGTTTGTAACTAAAAGAGTGCATATACTTAAAAAAGTAACAATAAATTAAAAAAAAAGTGACACAGAGTCCAAAAGTGACAAAAACTAAAAAAATTGACATAAAATAATGACAAATTTGCACTGTCAATGGACTATAAGCCGGACTCTCTCCCTAAAAACATGGATTAGGTGATAGACAAAGACCAAAGATGTTATGATTATTTTCTTTGAATTTTCATTCCAGGTTTTACACCAGAAATGTAGCGTTAATATATAACCATGTAACATGTTACAATGACCAAAAATATGTTTGTAGTTTATATCAACTAATAGATGACAATAAATTAAAAAAAAAGGTGACACAAACTATAAAAAAGGTGAAACAAAACAAAAAAAAGTGACAAAACCACCACAAAGATGCTTCCTCATCAAAACACAACAATGAGACTCCACAGTAAGTACACAAATGTCATTATAATGAGAAAGTTTTATCAATTAAAGCTCCTAGTGCACTACCAAACGAATTATGCTAAGTTAAGCACAAGTATTGGTGAATTGCATTACTGAAAAAGAGCATGCAATGAGATCGTTCAAAATAGAAGCACCGTGAATCAGGAACAGATTATTTCGTTTTAAACAGACACTTCATTAGCTAAAACGCACCCCTGTATTCTTTCACAGCAATAAAAACGTATGACAAACTTTATATGGTCATTATGTCTACCTCTATACACCCGTATTTTCCATCCAAACTTTATTTATACTTTAAAAAGTCATCAATTAACATATAACTAACATTTATAATTATAGTAACATATCCTCTATTAAATATAAAGAAAAACCAATAGTAGCTACCCTATGTTACTATGAACAAGTAGCTAAGCAATCTTGAGCAATCAACGTTCCTTTGAATATAGTGCTAATCTAGTGACACAAGCTATAAAAAAAGGTGACATAAAGTCCAAAAGTGACACAAACTGTAAAAAATGTGACACAAAATTAAAAAAAGTAACAAAACCATCACAAAGATACTTCCTCATCAAAACACAACCAAAAAAAGTTGTAATTTATTTTATTTTGTAATTGGTATTGCTTCATATGGATGTCAGTAAATGAGTACTCTAACTTGAGCTTTTGACAAGCTAATTCAACCTTTATGGAAAGTGGTCATTGTATCAATTTTATGACTATTATCATTATACTTAAAACAAAGTTTTGGAAATTAATAGGACATTAGTAAGAAAATTTTGAAGTTTACATATGACAGATAACTCAAGTGCAATGGATGAGCAAATTTGTTCATTGGAAAATCATATAAACAAAGGCACAACCACCATGCACACAAACACACCCACACTTTTTTTTTTGTGCATTCTGAAGTCACCATGTAAGACCAACTAGAAACTATGAAAACCAAAGTAGCATTATAGTAGCCAAAAAATGTATATCGATAAAATTTACTAAAATCATTGAGAAAACTACACAATCTTCATTCACTGCACAAAATGTACAAAAACCATTGAGAAACACACAAAAAAAAAAGGTTCGTAAAGAACAAGACAATGTACGCAATATAAGTCAATAAAATATAAAAAAAATGTTGCTACCTTCGATTTATAAGAAGATGCGGAAATTTTGGTCCTCTTCTTTAAGGATCGTTCTTCGAGATTTCTTTACCTCTTCGATCTACTCTTTTCAGCCATTACAAAAATACGAGTTAATTGTTGGATTGGATCTAGGGTTTAGGCTATTTGGGATTTATGGTCAAAATGATAATGAGATAAGAAACTAAACGATTACGAAGGGAAAACTAAGAAGAAATTGATGGAAAATGGGTCGAAAATGGAGATTTACAATTATATTTTGTTGGAGAGAAGAATTGCTTTTGGATTTTGCCTCTGGACGATTTCCACAAAATGAGACATTTTAGGGGATTAGGGCATCATCCACAAATAAGGCGTTTTAGGGGACAAGGGCTTACTGTAGAATTGGGTTTAGGTTTGATTTTGATTTTACCAATTTAGGACGTAAATAATACTTCTTTAAAATATTTAAATAATTTAAAAGGTATTAATCAAAACACTTTAAAAAATGGATTACATGGCCTAATTTCCTCCAATGTCATTTGCGTCAATTTCATACAAATTAAATTTGAGCCCATGACAGGATACTGTCTAGGAACGGAGCTCTTTAATCACGTCCAATGGGAAAATTTTCCCACTAGCACCCAACTTATAGTTTTGTTTAATGTTAGTCATCCAATTTCAATCGTGTTCAAAAAAATCCACCAAATTAAATTTTTTTATTCATGTTCACCACTCTATCTATAAAATTAAGAGTTTAAGACTAGGCTGTCTCTTATTCTTGAAGCAATGCAAGTTAAATAAGTTGCAAGTGCACGTGTTAATCAACCACATGCGAAAGCCTATAGCATGAGATTGAGCTTCTCCTAAAAAGAAAAATTGATGAAATGACTAGACCAAAGAGAGAAAGTTATATTAGACAATGCCTTTGATTTGTATGAATCAAAATTTAACATGCACGACCATGCGTAGAGCTTATAAGAGATGTCAAGTTCAGGCTGAGCATAGATTTCAGATTCGAAAAGTCGAGTTCGCCTACATCAAAGCGGTGAACAATTTATAAAAATAAAATTTGTACGGCCATTTTAAAATAAATTGAAATTCGTCGATCAATATAAAGCCCCCGTTTGGCCCCTATTTTGTCGAAATAAAAATGAGTGTAATAGTATTTTTTGAAAAACAAGTGGTTGAAAAAAGAAGGAAAAATTTTCGATTTACGTATAATATTATTTTATGAAAAATTGTGAGATTGAAAATAGGAAAGAAAATAATGAAATGTAATGGAATGAAAATTAATAAGGACAAACTGGCGGCAAAATTATACAACCTATATGTTGAGTGGCTTGCAATAAAATTTTCCCTCATCAAACATTATTCTTAGCACCTAAGTAAAATGCGAACACGGTGTCTTCTTACATAAATATATGACCTTCTAGATTCATAATAATCACCGAAAAAGACAAATTACAAAACTTCAACTCCCCACTATCTCTCACTCATTATAGTCCACGTCTTCTACAAACCGTGTTTATGCCGTCACCCCTACCCCATTTTCTCACCTAAATTACACTGTAATTTTAATTCAAACTTCCATTTTCTGCCTTTCGTTTTCTCTTGCACAGTACTACCTTTACCAAATCTACACGCCATTCCCTTTTCCACTTCCTAGAAATTTCCTGCTTTTGTTACCTTTTATATATCCACTCCCGGACCCTCTCTTACCTATATTATCGTTTCAGTATCAACACATAATTAATTCCTGTATTCAGAGTTGAAGAGGAAATGGAGAATGGAAATCAGTCGTCTTTCTGGCAATTTAGTGATGATCTTAGGCTCGAAGGAAGCAATATGGCGGGCCTTTCTTTGAATGACTCAATTTGGAGCACCAACTATTCGACCAAACGCTCCACTGAGCAGAGGCGGAATTTCGACGTAAGGGTCGGTGCCAGTGAGGTTAATAACTCTTTCAATTCAATCAACCCAGTTGATAATTCCAAGTCTGATTTCAATAGCTTCAATTTTGGGTTCAGCAATGATGGACGGAAAGCTGGGGTGTATGGTAATAATGATTCTGGGTATGGTTCTGCTGGTTTGAACAGTGAGATCAATTCAGTCAACTCATTCTTCAACAATCCTGTTGATGAATCCAAGTCAGATTTCAATGGCTTCAATTTCGGGTTCAGCAACGATGGATGGAAGGCTGGGTTAAACAGCAATAATACTAATTCCGGCTACGGATCGGTTGGGTTGAACGGTGGCTTCAACAAAGGAATCTACTCGACCCCTTCTCTGAATTTTAACAGTTACAGTAAGGGTAAGAATCTTAACAATGTTCTGGCGAACGGGAAGACAAATAAAGGTGGTAAAAATGAAGACGAACACTGCTATGGCGGGAATAAAGGTGGAAAGAAGAATAAGAATAATAAGGAGAGCAATAACAACAATAATGGTGAAAACAAGAGTGCTTCTGATAAGAGGTTCAAGACTTTGCCACCCTCGGAATCTCTGCCTAGAAACGAAACAGTTGGCGGGTATATCTTTGTGTGCAACAATGATACGATGCAAGAGAATCTCAAGAGACAGCTCTTTGGTATGTCATAATTTGTTTATTACTTTCTCTTTGATTCTCTTGCTATGTTTTATTCCTCTTTGCTATTTAATAAGTTGGTTTAGACAGCGTTAAGGTAGTTACAAAAGTTAAATTCTTTGTCCACTAGTCTTTCCGGTAATGAATACGATCACGCCCACAAGTTCATGTTTGATTAATGTGTCTATTGAAGGATTCTTTTGGACTATAGTTTTCTTGATTAAATTATCTGATGTGCAAAAGACTAGTTTAGACTACGGAATTTTTTTCCTCTCTGAGAATCAAATTATTAAAACAGCTAAATGATAAGAAAGGTGATCTTTTCGTCATTCTTGGAATATTGGACGTTTTATTCATCTTCGTATTGGATTTTTTTTTTTTTTTTTTTTTTTTTTTTTTTTTTTTTTATTACTGATTTTGAAATATGGAAAGAGTTCTTTGATACAATTGCATATTTTGTTTTTACAGAAAAATGGTTTCGATAACATGATGTACAGTTGTTTTGTTGTTATTTAAGAACATTTGTTTCACGATCATGAAATGAGACAGAGTACAACATCCCAAGCAAATTTAAGCAATCTAGTACTTTGTACTGTGTAATTATCTACTGGATTTGTAAATATGAATCTGACATAGACGTTATACAAGTTCTGAATTAATCTACAAGAGAAGCATATTTTGCCGAAGTCAATTTGAACTAGAATTGATTGGTTCTATCAAATATTGGATCTATCGTGTTGACTGCATCCTCATCCGTGCTTGACATGTTTTGCATGTTTTACATTGTTCTTTTTTCAGGCTTGCCTCCCCGTTATCGAGATTCAGTCCGAGCAATTACTCCAGGATTACCTCTGTTTCTCTACAACTATTCGACGCACCAACTTCATGGAGTTTTTGAGGTTTGTACTAAGCTATGTTTCTGAGGTTAAATGGTTGTTACCCCGCTTACTTAAAATTGTACATCCTTGCTAGTTGCTAATCATACTGCATACATGTTACTCTTTTAGGCTGCGAGTTTTGGTGGCACAAATATTGACCCAACAGCTTGGGAAGACAAGAAAAACCCTGGTGAATCACGCTTCCCTGCTCAGGTGTGTACATAGTCATTATTCATACTATAAACTTTGTGCGCGGATTGTGTTGAAATTTTTGGACCCTAATCATACTATATGCTTATTATCTCATCAACCATGGATTTGTTGGGTACTGGGCTAGGGATTGAAACACGTAAGCTGCCCTAATCCCTACTATATACAAAGCCTGAGCTTATTTAGAAATTGTTTATTGTCATTGTTATTGACACTAAGAAATTGTGCAAAATAAATTCAGTTGCATACAACTTTATGTTAGCTGTAAATGTGGATAGATGTTTACCCTTCCATTGTTTTAGATGATCTTTGTTTACTGGAATGGTTTTGAGATTTGCGTGTATCTTGTGCAGGTTCGTGTACTTACAAGGAAAGTCTGTGAGCCTTTGGAAGAAGACTCTTTCAGGCCAATTCTTCACCACTATGATGGTCCTAAGTTCCGCCTAGAGTTAAATGTCCCTGAGGTATTAGTCTCTCCTTTTGTCAAAGACAGTTATTTCTACAAAACTAAAATCTCATGGATTCATATAGAATATTGTTTTACGCCTATCTGAAAAATTGATCTTTTTTTTTTTTTTTTTTTAAAGCCTAATTGGGTATATTGGGTACACATTAACAATTTTTTTACATGATAACAAACTTTAACTGTATTGTATGCTCTCGAGCTTAACATAACAAACATGCCATTAATATTCTACCCTCTTTGGTTTTTGCAGGCAATCTCGCTCTTGGATATTTTTGTAGAAGACAAACCTTTGAGCATTTGATGAATCGGAGCACGGTATACTGCACACATTATACAACACAATGAACTATGAAGGAAATAGAGGGAAAGAATGAATCTCAGTTGTACTTTCGAAGCACATTGAAGTTATACTGTTAAAGAATAGCCAATGGTCATCTGTAAATATAAATCTATGGAATGTGAGAGACTTCTATTAGGGAGTTCAATATTTCCTTTTTTGTAATATGGCAAGCTGAAATATTTTTATTTATAAATAATCAAAAGCTGAGTTTAGCTTGTTGTGTTGGCATGTTGCAAATTTGAGTCGAGATTTTTGCAAGTGGTGATGATGTTGGAAGTTGAACGATGTGGTTTGTTGAAATGGTCAAATCACCAGCCCTTCTTTTTCAAAATTATTGAGAATATTATTTTGTCCCCTATTCAATATTTGACAACACAGCTGTATTATGTCGCTTATTCTTTTTTTTTTTTTTTCATGAATATTCTGAAAAATGGTTAATATCAATTCCGCATATCAATCGTTCTTGGATATTAGAGAGACAATTTGGTGGTGAAAGAGATCGAGATTACTGCTGAAAAGCTTGAACCAGACGGTCTCATTCAACTTCAAAGATGAATGAACAAGATTGAGTCCTTTTGATTTCAGTAGATTCTAGCGTTTGGGGGGTGTTTAACAATTTTTTAATTACTTGCTCGAAAATTAAGAGTTTATTTTTGTCAATTTTCATGATTTCAATAATTTGTTTTTAACATGAGCTGATTGGAGATATTCTAAATTGTTTAAATATGGCTCAAGTGGATATGGTGGAATATTTAAAAAATAAAAATAAAAATTGGGTATATTTTATTTGCTCTAAGTATAATTTCATTATAGTGTTAATTAAATAATTGTACTTCGATTTTGCTTAGATCATTTCACTTTTATATGATTTTAATTAAATAACTATGTACAATTGAAATCAAATTAAAGTGTATTTACTTGATTAAATAAAATTGAAGTATAGTTACTTCATTCATAGAGGAAGTGTTAACGAGAATAAAATTTATTCATTTAAATGTATGATCATATGTGGCTTCGTTAGATGTTGACGTGTCACAAAACAAGTATTTTGTTACTCACAGTCAACCAATTTGGAAATTTAGAAATTAGGGATTAAGTACATTCGCATAGAAAACTAACACAACTTAAGTTTTGTACCATTTTTGTGCTTAAATCGTATAATAAACTCACTCTTTGTGTTTAATGACGATTTATAAATAAGATTGGTTGATAGTCAATATTTTTGACTGAATGAACATTAGTATTAGCTTATAAACTTAAATGGTTATTAGCGGTAAGAAAATAGGTACGTTACTCACAACTCAGAGTAATTATTAACATAATTAATAATAAAAAAAATTATCTGAAAATATTTGTCTATCATACTCCCATGTTTATGTTTGAAAATTAGCCGCTGAAAAATCCATCCACACCCCTAGTTTGATAAAATATGTATATTATTGTCGGGATCGCCATAATTGATGCATCCCACCGGTTTAATCCCATAAATCTTGCACTCGAATTTCAAAAAAAGCAACGCAAAAATTGTCTCTTCCGCCACATTCTCTTGTCTTCTTCTCCCCCATCCAAATCCGTGACCTCGTTGAATTTTACTAAAGATTGTTGCGTAAATCGATTAATCATCTTGTCTTAAACTTTAAGAAAATTAGGATGATATTCTCTAACTTTTCAGGTAATTTTATTTTAATTAATTTTTGACGCTCCAAATTATATGAATCGATTCATCAATGTATATATTAAAATCACTCACGGCTTTCACATAACTTAGAATCGGATATTAACTGGGTTGACGATTGTTTCCTCCATTTCTAAGTCAAGTGAAAATCGCGTGCAATTTTAATATTTATATTGACTTTTTCATCATTAGATAGAAACATAATCTCACCCACTTATGTTGGGATTCAAACCTTCACTTTTAAAGATGAGTAATGTTATTCGTAGCCGTTCACTGCGGCAGTCACCCTACGTGACATACATATGACAGGTTATTATTTGATGCATTAATATTGTAATTTTTTACGTGACATACATATGGCAGGTTATTATTTGATGCATTAATGTTGTAATTTTTTTTATTCATTAATGAATCAAATAACCATCTGTCATGTGTATGCCACGTAGGACGACTGCCACAGTGAGGGGTTGCAAATAACATTATTCTTTAAAGATTGTGAAGTCAAAACCACACTTGATTGAATGGTTAACGAGGGGGTACATATATTCATTTAAATTTCATCTTCTAACAAGTCTCTTGTACGAAAACTAGATTAATTAATTTATTTATTTATTTATTTATTTATTTTTTTTTTATCAAATGACATCTATGAATGGTAAAAGGCATAATATGAACTTAGGTATTTTGACGATGAATAAAGCAACTTGTCCAGGGTTAAATATAAGGAAGTAAAGAGACAATTGATGTGTTAAAAAATAATTGGATGTCTTTGTTTTAATTTTCAATCTGTCCAATCATGTGTCAGTCGTGTCCCATTCGAATTTCAATTTGAGTGTGTAGCAAGATTGTTTGATGATATACGAGTATGTTTGGTACAGCTTAAAATCCAGTTAAAATCAATTTTTTGACCGTTATTTCACTATTTCAGCCGTCATTTTTAAATTTTTTTTATCAAATGACATTTATGAATGGTAAAAGGCATAATATGAACTTAGGTATTTTGACGATGAATAAAGCAACTTGTCCAGGGTTAAATATAAGGAAGTAAAGAGACAATTGATGTGTTGAAAAATAATTGGATGTTTTTGTTTTAATTTTCAATCTGTCCAATCATGTGTTAGTCGTGTCCCATTCGAAATTCAATTTGAGTGTGTAGCAAGATTGTTTGATGATACACGAGCATGTTTGGTACAGCTTAAAATTCAGTTAAAATCAATTTTTTGACTGTTATTTCACTATTCCAACCGTCATTTTTAAATTTTTCTCTCACAAATAGGACCCATTTTATTTTTAACGATTAAAAAATTAATTAATAAAATCTCTACCAAACAAACACTTTGTCTCATCTGAACATTTAAAACGTCATATATGCTTTTTCTTCCCCAACCAAATCCGTGAATTTACTTGATTAAATAAAATTGAAGTATAGTTACTTCATTCATAGAGGAAGTGTTAACGAGAATAAAATTTATTCATTTAAATGTATGATCATATGTGGCTTCGTTAGATGTTGACGTGTCACAAAACAAGTATTTTGTTACTCACAGTCAACCAATTTGGAAATTTAGAAATTAGGGATTAAGTACATTCGCATAGAAAACTAACACAACTTAAGTTTTGTACCATTTTTGTGCTTAAATCGTATAATAAACTCACTCTTTGTGTTTAATGACGATTTATAAATAAGATTGGTTGATAGTCAATATTTTTGACTGAATGAACATTAGTATTAGCTTATAAACTTAAATGGTTATTAGCGGTAAGAAAATAGGTACGTTACTCACAACTCAGAGTAATTATTAACATAATTAATAATAAAAAAAATTATCTGAAAATATTTGTCTATCATACTCCCATGTTTATGTTTGAAAATTAGCCGCTGAAAAATCCATCCACACCCCTAGTTTGATAAAATATGTATATTATTGTCGGGATCGCCATAATTGATGCATCCCACCGGTTTAATCCCATAAATCTTGCACTCGAATTTCAAAAAAAGCAACGCAAAAATTGTCTCTTCCGCCACATTCTCTTGTCTTCTTCTCCCCCATCCAAATCCGTGACCTCGTTGAATTTTACTAAAGATTGTTGCGTAAATCGATTAATCATCTTGTCTTAAAATTTAAGAAAATTAGGATGATATTCTCTAACTTTTCAGGTAATTTTATTTTAATTAATTTTTGACGCTCCAAATTATATGAATCGTTTCATCAATGTATATATTAAAATCACTCACGGCTTTCACATAACTTAGAATCGGATATTAACTGGGTTGACGATTCTTTCCTTCATTTCTAAGCCAAGTGAAAATCGCGTGCAATTTTAATATTTTTATTGACTTTTTCATCATTAGATAGAAACATAATCTCACCCACTTATGTTGGGATTCAAACCTTCACTTTTAAAGATGAGTAATGTTATTCGTAGCCGCTCACTGCGGCAGTCGCCCTACGTAGCATACATATGGCAGGTTATTATTTAATGCATTAATGTGGTAGTTTTTTTTATTCATTAATGAATCAAATAACCATCTGTTATGTGTATGCCACGTAGGACGACTGCCGCAGTGAGGGACTGCAAATAACATTATTCTTTAAAGATTGTGAAGTCAAAACCACACTTGATTGAATGATTAACAAGGGGGTACATATATTCATTTAAATTTCATCTTCTAACAAGTCTCTTGTACGAAAACTAGATTAATTTATTTATTTATTTATTTATTTATTATCAAATGACATCTATGAATGGTAAAAGGCATAATATGAACTTAGGTATTTTGACGATGAATAAAGCAACTTGTCCAGGGTTAAATATAAGGAAGTAAAGAGACAATTGATGTGTTAAAAAATAATTGGATGTTTTTGTTTTAATTTTCAATCTGTCCAATCATGTGTCAGTCGTGTCCCATTCGAATTTCAATTTGAGTGTGTAGCAAGATTGTTTGATGATACACGAGCATGTTTGGTACAGCTTAAAATCCAGTTAAAATCAATTTTTTGACCGTTATTTCACTATTTCAGCCGTCATTTTTAAATTTTTTTTATCAAATGACATTTATGAATGGTAAAAGGCATAATATGAACTTAGGTATTTTGACGATGAATAAAGCAACTTGTCCAGGGTTAAATATAAGGAAGTAAAGAGACAATTGATGTGTTGAAAAATAATTGGATGTTTTTGTTTTAATTTTCAATCTGTCCAATCATGTGTTAGTCGTGTCCCATTCGAAATTCAATTTGAGTGTGTAGCAAGATTGTTTGATGATACACGAGCATGTTTGGTACAGCTTAAAATTCAGTTAAAATCAATTTTTTGACTGTTATTTCACTATTCCAACCGTCATTTTTAAATTTTTCTCTCACAAATAGGACCCATTTTATTTTTAACGATTAAAAAATTAATTAATAAAATCTCTACCAAACAAACACTTTGTCTCATCTGAACATTTAAAACGTCATATATGCTTTTTCTTCCCCAACCAAATCCGTGACCCGCCGAAATTGATTCAATATTCTTCCATAAGTACAACCTCAGCTCTTCCGATTTGAAAGAGAAACCAAGAAGCAACCAAAAAGAAGAATTGCAATGGGGAATTGCTCTCTCAAATCTGTTTCTGATGCTGCAAATCGGGCCGATTTTATCCGGATCATGACAGATTCCGGTGATATATTAGAATTAAAAGGCCCTAAATTAGTCCGGGAAGTTCTCGAAAACTTTCCGGGATACAAAATTTTTGGACAAAATCAAATTTCTTCTCCATTGTTTGATCATCAGCAGCTTGTCGAAGGTCAATTCTACTATCTCTTACCAATCAGAGATGAAAAAATGAATCCGTCCAATGAGCGTGTTGAAGATTTTGAGGCTGTTACCAGATTGGGAAATCGAAGAAAGGGTGTTTGGAGGGTGAAATTGGTGATCGATTCAGACAAGTTAGAGGATATTTTATCAGAGGAAGTGAATACTGAAGCCTTCATTGAGCATATGAGGATTGCTGCAATTGCTACTCCCGGAAGAACAAAAAAGTTACCTGGCCGGTGGTGTTGACATGATGGCCGGGGCTGTGGCATACGGAGGATACCTATTTATTGTACTTGCGTTATTTGATGAATTAATGTGGTAACGTAGCATTAACTCTTATCTTAATGTAAAAATAAGTTATTAATTATAAGTAAACTTGCAATTCAAATATCCTGCATCTTCAATTAGTTGTAGTGTATAATTTCTCTGTGAGATGGTAATTCCAGCTGATCCTCGAGCAATTTCGATTCCCAAGAAGAACTTTAAGCATCCCAAGTCTTTGAGTTTGAATTGAGAATGTAAAAGTTCCTTCAACTCACTAATCACCTGAATATTAGGGCCAGAAATGACTATGTTGTCAGCGTATACTAATAAGGCTATAAATTTGTCACTTGACCCCTTTGTGAAGAGAGAATAATCTGCTTTGGATTGGATGAAACCATACTGGATAAGGGCATGAGAAAATTTGCAATTCCATTGTCTCGAGGCTTGCTTGAGACCGTATATTGATTTGTGCAATTTACACACCAATTTCTCCCCCTGTTTGAGAGGTTTGATGAGGTTGTAGCCAAGGGGAAGTTCCATGTAAACCTCCTCAAACAACTCCCCATTTAAGAAGGCATTATTTACATCTAATTGGACCAAGTGCCATTTAGCAAGCATGACCTTGACAGAAACAGTTTTGGCCACTGGAGAGAATGTATCAAAATAATCCAACCCCTCTTGTTGTGTAAACCCCTTAGCGACAAGGCGTGCTTTATGTCTTTCCAATGAGAAATCAGAATTATATTTGTTTTTGAAGACCCATTTGCAACCTACTGTGTGCTTTCCAGTCGGTAAGGGAACAAGAGACCAAGTTTGATTGAGTTCCATGGCTTCTAGTTCGAGCTTCATGGCATCACGCTAATGAGGGCATTTTACTGCTTGATGAAAGTATTGAGGTTCAGGTTGAGAGGAGATGTTTAATATGAGTTGTCGATAGGGAGTGGACAATTTATTATAAGAGAGATATTGGCCAATATGGTAACGAGAAGTTTTGGAATGTGGGGAATTGGACGAAAGCAAATTGCAGTGGAAGTCTTTTAGATATGATGGAGGTCTAGAGACTCTACGGGGTCTATGACTAA